CATCTCTGTGAGGTACGTTTGGCTCAGAAGTAGTGACTATTCCCACATCATCCAGTGAGTTTCAGGGATAGAAATTACTGGCATCCAGGACACAGTATAACCCCAGTCTTGGATTCACTTTCCCTGCCCCTTAACATCCTAATTGTGATAGCAACATCATCATGTGATGTTATTAGTTAATCTGCAATAAGTTATAATATAATTCTGTATATGCAGATGTACCTCACTTAACCGAGAGGCATTGCATTTCTCTGTTTAAATAATACCATGCTTGTCAACATCTGGAGGAACTTGCTCCTAGATAAACACATCTAAAGTTGCAGCCAAAGGCAGTGAGGATTTCCTTGTTTGTGTGGTTCAGCTTCTATAATTATTTTGGTAACTAAAAATAAACATCACAACATATGTAAGTGCTTTTTACAACATATAAACAATATTTCTACTATTTTCTCCAACAGTAGGCAACTTTCTGTAAGTGGAGTTACCTTGCGGAAGTCTTAGCAATTGTCAAAATGGCTGCAAGTTGTGGTCAAGAAAAAATACGATGGGTTACCACAATAATTCTGAGTTCATCTCTTCAGGTAATGGATGTCATTAATGCTCTCACAAAATGGCTGCCAGTTGGAAGGGTTGCCTATTCACAAGATTGCTATACACGGACAGCATGGCCAGGCACCAAACACTAATTTACTAGAAAGCAAGCTGATGATGTTACCCCTCCATATCCTTCTCTAGCCCTCACATATTCTCATCAATCTAATTTTACACACACACACACACTCACACACACACATAGAAAGGGTGCTGTCAAAGAGCGGTGCTCTAACCACTATGCTATCCAGCTGCTAAATGTTTGTATGTATGTATGTATGTATGTATGTATGTATGTATGTATGTATGTATATAAAAATAAAATGGCTGGATAGTGTAGTGGTTAGACCACTGCCCTTTGACATGGGAGACTGAGGTTTGAATCCTGGATGGTCCCCTCTCCCTCTGTGTGTGTGTGTGTGTGTTTGTTTGTTTGTTTGTTTTCTGGGGAGGTGGCTTCATGTCTAACCAAGCCATGGGTTGGAGACACCCATCCTTGTATCAGCTGGATGCTTCTGAGCCTATATGGAACCTCCAACCCAAGTATTCGCAGATTGCCTATCCCAGTATCAGATGTGATTGAAATGAGTTCTGTTAGTAGAAAGAACAAATAACTATGGAAGAATCACAACACTGCTTCTATTTTGAGAGAGGGGAAGCAGCCACAGCTATCTGAGCTTTTAAAATGGTGGAATGTGTTTGCAGGAAGCGCTAGATTAGCCTTTTCCCAACCTGGGGACCTCAAGATTCCATCTCTCAAAATTCTCATCCATGGCCAGGCTGCCTGGGAAATTCTGCAATTTTGAAGTCTATACACCAGGAGGACACCCCTTTGGGGAAGGTTGGACTGACTTATAGCCCTGAGTTACCACATTCCAGGGGTGCCTAGGTGTCTGTGCATTAAAAAAGTCAAGATAATGGTATAACATTGTGATTGAAGCCTCACCTCTCTTGACTTTTTTGACATCACCCCATTCCTGCAACAATCAGTGTTTCTTCCTAAGTGACTGAAATAAATTGAAACATGATAAGTTCCTGCTATGTTTCCAGTCATCATTTCTGTAACTTTAGGATTTTTACTCATTTCTTGTTATCCTTGTTTCCTGACAAAGTTTATTAATTTGTTTTTATTAATTTGCTGAGTAGATATGATGCTTACCTATATGTTGCCCTTCCCTTCCCTTCTTTTCTCTTGTAAACTCTTCCTGTATCTGGCTAATAGCAATCACACCACACATTGAATAGCCTAATGAGAAAGAGGCAATGCAGAAAATGGTATAGAAGATTTTATCTGGATTCTCCTTGCTTTCAAGGAGTTTGATAAATCTATAAAGTTTATCTTTATTTTTACTCCTTGTTTTTTTAATACTCTTGAAGGATTTTTATTAAAAAATAAGTTTTCGTTTTGTTGCTGGCAGGATCAGTTCTTCAAAGGCACTCTACTGTCAAAGCCTTTTTTAAAAAATAGCACTCTGAATAGATAAGTATGAAAAAAATGGGAAAATTTAGCTAGCCTATCTCAGGATGACAATATGTATGTAACTGACATTTCTAACTAAGTTTGCTTATATATTTTTAAGGACATTGGATTCTTTAAAAAGCTCAAAATGAAATTGTGATGAAGAAATAATGGGCCATCTTTTTAAATAAAACACTGCAGCCTCACAGCATGTTATTTTAATGGGTTGAAGATGAAAAGAATTTTTTTTAAAAACTAAAAAGCATGGAAAAATTATTTTCTCATAAACCAACTAATTTGACTAACAAAATGAAGTACTGTATGTAGCACATTATTCACTTGTACAATTTACTTCCACAAGTTGGGACTTTAGACATAACTTTGTTTACTTTTTAAAAAGTTAGAAAAAAATACCAGATAGATCTGATAACAGCAGTCAGCTAACAAAGCCAAACTGCACTTTAATATGCAAGGGTAGCATATCTTCCTACAAGGTTGGAGGACAAAGAATGTAACTAGTCTTAGTGATAATTAATCTTATCCCATGATTGGAGCTTCCATAAGCATTTATTTTTCAGCTTTTGCAAAGAGAGGCCTTAGCTAGATGGGCTTGGACTGATCCAGCATAACAAAGATTGCAGGGTTTTTTAAATTAGTATTTATGTATATTAAACTATTTTGAATGTTTTAATGACCGCTCTATTTAAGGGACAAAATAATAAATATATTTTAATATAGCATTTTGTTACATATTCAGCATCATGACATTTCAACAACCTTACAGAATCAGCAACACCGGGTTCGTTATTCAGATTCAGTGGAAGATGGATCTATTATTTTCTCACTTTCTGGTATAGTACTATAATTTTTTTTTAATGTTGAATCTAGCAGCATGGTATCAAGCTGTTTTATTATTTTTATTACTTTATCCCACCTTTTCTATATATAACTCAAGGTGGCGAACATACCTGCCTTCTATTTTTACCACAACAACCACCCTTTGAGATGGGTTGGGCTGAGAGGGAATGACTGGCCCAAAGTCACCCAGCCAGCTTTCGTGCCTAAGGGAGGCCTAGAACTCACAGTCTCCTGCTTTCTAGGCTGGCACCTTAACCACTACACCAAACTGGCTCTCTTTAAATGAGACGTGTGGTTAAAGAGCATGAAGTAATGAAAAAATTAAAAATAGGTACATCTTACATTTTGAAACTACTGTATGTGAAATGGAAAGGATATAATAGATCAGAATGAAAGCAGACTGATCTCATGAAAGTGAAGTTGATTAATACATGCATGTAAGTAAAAATGTAGGTGCAATTACAGGTAGTCTTTGGTTAATGACCATTCAGTGACCATTCGAAGTTATGTCAGCACTGAATGAGTGGTACCTATGACCTGTCCTCAAAGTTTCAGCAGTCCCAGCACCCATGAGGTCATGTGATTGTGATTTGGGCACTTGGCAACTGGCTCGCACTTACAACAGTTGCAGCATTCCACAGTCACATGATTGCCATTTGCAACCTTCCTGCTGGCTGCCCACAAGCAACATCAATGGGGAAGCCGGCAGGGAAGACTGCGATTCGCTCCTGTAAGTCACTCCCATTCCAGCTGCTTTTTCTCCCGAGAAGCCTAGCTATAGAGTATGACACTGTTGTCCAAACTTGGCCACTTTGAGTGGACTTCAACTTCCAGAATTCCCTAGCCAGCATGGCTGGCTGGGGAATTCTGGGAGTTGAAGTCCACTCATCTTAAAGTGGCCAAGTTTGGACAACACTGGAGTATGAGATCCTGGGGATGTCATACTCGTAGCGCACCCCACCTGCAGCATCCCCCTGCCTGCACTCCATAGCACACCCAGGACTTGCAACTTCCTGTCAGCTTCCCTATTGACTTTACTTGTTGGAAGCTGGCAGGAAGTCGCAAGGAGGGCCTTGCTTAAAGACCTGCAATCCTCGCTTAATGACGGATGCAATGTGGTCATGTGACATCACGCTTTACGACTGCATCATTTAGCGAGGATTACCTGTATGAATAAAGGGCCTAAAATACAGCATGTGTCAGAAAGTAGGAACTGTTATCATCTAGATTATTGTGGATGAATATGAAAGTAACAATTCATAGCTTCATGGACCAACATGTTATGTGTCAATGAATGATGAAAATAGATAAACCAGGAATGAATTTTGGGAAACATTGAAAAACATTGTGAATGAATATGATCCAGTGGGAAAAAAACTACTCTGTTAGGTGACATGAATGGAACAATGGGAATGAATTCAAAGAGTACAGAAAAAGTGATATGGACATTTGGAGACCAAAGAATAAGAATTTCTGCTTAGAAAGAAGACTATTTTGAATACATGGTTTACACATAAATCTATTAATGCATACATGGGGAAAGGGAATGTTTTGAAAAGTATGAATGATCTGATTATGATGGAATAATTAGTGAATAATACAGGGATGAATAAGAAAAGCAGTTCTTCTAGGTCTTTGTACCCCACCAATTCCTTATGTAGCAGTAGTGTTAGGACTGCTGCATAAAACTTGCAAGATAATAATACCATTGTAGAAAATATTATCCAAGATCCCCACTGCCATGTTTTCATCTCTGTTAGATCTATTCTCTTGGAATTTCCACTAATCTTCAGTATATGGATTTAGGATGCAGCTTTATATAAATATTTCAGTTTCAACAGCTGTATATACTCCACCATATATAAATCATATATGTACTTTTTAAAATAAACATAGTATAGCTTAATAAAAATGTTCTTCTTGCTCAGGTGTTGCATTTTTGCTTGCCGATGCTCAAGACTTGTTACTTGCAAATAGCAAAGTCATTTTTGAAAGAATAAAGAAGTTCATGACCATTCACAGAAATGGATTTTTACTTTTATCAGCTGCCCTTCATGGACAAAAAGAATGGGAAATGATGTTCAGAGTTCAGCAGAGGTATGAAATAAATAAATCAACATTTGTAATTTGCTTTATTACTAATGGAAAATGGATATATCTATAACATTTGCCAGCTCGTACTATTTAAGATAAATAGTACATTAACTTGTGTTCATTCAATGAAAATAGCCAAAGAATAAAAGCACTTTACCTTGGTATATTGCACCTTATAAGATACAGACTCTCAATCATTTGGACCTCTGAAAGTCATGGTTGAGGCCAGATTACCACACAGAAAATGCATTGGTTGTGCTTGTGGATGACCTTTGGAGAGACCAGGATTGAGAGGATATAACCCTTCTGGTTCTCCTTGGTCTCCCAGCAGTTTTTGATACCATTGACTGTGGTATCCTTCTGGATGGTCTGTAAGGAATTTGGGAGAGGCCACAGTTCTGCAGTGATTTCCCTCCTTCCTATAGCGGTGGTGCTAGTTGGTGATGGTGGGAGAGATCTGCCTAGAGACCTCTGTAGTGTGAGTGTCTCAGGGATCTTTCCTCTCTCCACTCCTTTTTAATATTGACATGAAACTGCTGGGGAAAGTCATCTGTTGGCATCAGCTTTGGTCTCATCAATATCCTAATGATATCAGTTATACATCTAATCCCCAGGTCAAACAAGGGATGCCATGGAAGGGCTACCCCAGTTCCTGGAGGCTGTTAGGGCCTGGGAGAAGGAACAGATTCTAATTAAATTCCTTCAAGATCGATTTGGTTTGGACCTAATGATTCCAGGGAAATTCCATCTCTGACTCTGAAAACAGGGTTGCTCAGAGATGGCCCATAATCAAATTCCCATAGGCTCACAGCTCCTGCTTGAAGAGCAGGTGGCAGCTGTGGCCAAAAGGGCTTTTGCACAGTTTTATCTTGTGTACCAATTGTGGCCATTTATGGATCAGAAGGCCCTGCTCACAGTCACTCATGCCCCAGATGCCTCCTATTTGGACTACTGTAACACATTCTGCACGGGTCTGCCCTTGAAGAATATTTGGAATCTACAGCTGGTACAGATTGTGGCAGTCTGAGCAGTGATGGGAGTTTCTTGATACATTTAGGTGATACCTCCCTGCTTTGGGAGCTACGTTTGTTTCCAGTTGGCTTCTAGATATGATTCAAGGTGCTGTTTGACACTTTTAAAGCCCTGTATGACTCTGGACCTCTTTATCTGAGGGTCTGCCTTCTCCTCTTTGCACCTGCCTGTCCAACCAGATCAAATAGGGTTAATTCCCTCCAAGTCCAGTACCTAACAGAGGCTCCAAAGCAGATGTTTTCAGTAGTTGCCTCTGCTTCTTTCATTTTATTATCTCACTAGTACTCTGACTGGCAGAAATTAGGTGATAGTCTACTTAAAATTCCATTTTACTTCCATTTCCTGATCCCTTTGCATTATCTCTGCTAGGGCCAATCTTCTGTGCACTAGTATTTACTCAAGAATGCAGACCAGTTTAAATATTTCTGTACTGCTTTTCAGATTGGCCTGTTGACTACATACTTCTCTTAACTTCAGCCTCCAAATGTGGGTCTGTGCTAACAAAGAGTACAATCACCATGTCAGTCCTCTGAGAATTTTCACTGCAGCAGCTGGCATTTCTGTTTTTTGTTGGAATGGTAGCGGTTAAACATGCAAATGCAGTTCATAAAACAGTTCAAATACACTCAAGGTTTTCCAGGGCTTAATCTACTGTTATAAAGCCACTGTGAGTTTCACAGCAGAAAAGCAGTGCAGAAATATTTAAATTGATCTGCATCATATCATATCAGACAGTCTAACTAGCCTGATATTATGGTGGATAGATGGTAGGATGTATATTCTTGAGTAAATACACAAGTATTGGCCCTAGCAGAGGTAATGCAAACTATATAAGGAATTTATCATTTTTGTGTTCAACTTTGCATTTTTATTTTATCACATTAGATGTAACTTTCATTTTATTATCTCACTAGCAGTCTGACTGGCAGAAGTTAAGTGATAGTCTACTTAAAATTCCATTTTATTTCCATTTTCTGATCCCTTTATTTAGAAACGCTGGAGCTTCAACCGTCATAAAACCATGAAAACCAGGCACTTGGTACTTAATTATGGCTCATCTTAGTGTATTGTTAACAGAAGAAACAAAATGTGATTATATAGTGCCATCAAGGTACATGGCTCGTTACAGAGTAATATAATCAAAACAATATAATTTGCTAGTTTTAGGGAGCTTATAATTGTTTCAATACAGGGAAGATAACAAGGAAGCAGCAGAGACGACTACAACTAATAATACTGTAGGTGAACATGCAGCTTCTCCTCCATTTGGTTTAGGAGGGAAGAGAGAGAGAGTGGGTGGCTATGCTATGTAGGATAACAAATTCATAAATAGTTGTCTAATAGTAGTGTAAGGTTGATGTCCATACTTGCTACTAATAGTTTATTGGACAAGGCGAATAATACCAAAAGGAGTGTTACATAATCAGGAAAGAAAATAACGTCTAGATAACATTTATCCTGGAAAGATACAGGTCTGTGTCTTCTGTGGTGCTCTATTCCAGGAAGGTGCTGGAACTATGGGTTCCAACCCATCATCTGACACTGAAGGGCTAGAGCATAGGCCATCCTTCAACATTTCCAGAAGCCTGGAATTCAACAATATAACATTCTTTGCATGAAGAAGTCTTCTGGTTCAATTCTTGACATCCCAACTGAAAAGGATCTCATATTATAGGTCTTTGTCAGAGAACAGTCATTGGTTAAGGTGCAAGTATGTGTATCAGCTTTCCAACGTAGTAGGTTGTATAGACTAAAATGGAGACATTTGAAATGGTGCTCCATTTATTAAATTATAATCAACAGTAAAACAGCCTGCTTCCCATTTTTAAACATTTATGTAACTATCACCATCTCAGCCAAGAAATATAAAGTCCCCAAACATTAGTATAATATACATTTATGTAACCGTATGCTATTTTTATCCATACTAAAAAGTTTTAAGTACAAATGGATATTTATGAAAATTCTGTGCTTAAGTTTTTTAGGCAGTAATTTACGAATAGTTCCAGTCCACAATACTGCTGAAGCTATTAAACTAATGTTGACCATAGCAAAGGTAAGCGCAGAATTTATATTTTAAAAAGTCTATGTCTACATTAATACATAAATATAAATATTTGCACTCAAATAGATTCATTTGTTACTGTGGATGTAACTGCATGGTACCGCCACAATAGGGTTTTTGGTTTCAAGACTGCTTTTGTTATTACTTATAGTATAAATTATAAATGCATCTAATCCAAGATTCCTAAAACTGAAGAACAGTAAATAATGTTAGGTCCTTGCCCAAGTATTATTTGGTTGGGCTGTGCATACACAAAACTGAGAAAAATGCAGCTGCTTTAATAAGAGTCTAAGTGTTGTTACCTCCCTAAGGCAGCCGCAATTTTTTCTCAGGCTCAAGCAGAAATTGAAAAAAGGCAGGGTACTTGAATGAACAGTAAAGAGGTCCAACGTACTTTTTCTAACATTTATGTGGTGTGCACAACCCTATTATTATGGACTTAATATTTATCTAGTAAATTCAATACAATCTTGGGGTTTTGTTCAACAAAGCTTACTTTGAATAAGAATACAGAATTTAAAGAACAAAAACCAGTGGAATCCTAATGGAAAAATGTTGATTGGAGGGGGTTAAAGTGAGCCACTAGCAGCAAAAATCTTTTGGGCAGGAAACATGTTCTGCACTCAGACTGCAGATACCAACTGAAACAACTGAAGGCAAAACTGCTCAAGATTTTTTTTGAGAAGGGCAAGGCATAAAAAGATCCAGATTAAGTGACATCAAGTCTGCTTTTAACTACCTAATTTTGGCACAAAATAAAGCCAAACTGAGGGCAGTCTGTGCTAAATTTCCAATAAGTTACATCCACTCAAAGCCCCTAAATAAGACCTGAGTTTTAAAGCCCTGAGCATCACTCCAAAACATCTGATGAGGTTAAGATGCAGCATAATTTAGCTGCCATCTTGCCATTTTGTTTATATAATAATTTTTATTAAGAATTTTGATTATAATAGTAAAATCTAATACAAACTAAACTTAAAGAGAAGGGAGTAAAAAGTGCAAGGAAAAAGGGAGAAAAGGAAGAAAGAAGAAAAAGACTATAATAAAAAAAGAGAAAAGAAATATATGAAGTGACTTCCAACCTTCATCATATGAAGTATAAACAAATTTAGTAACTCTTCATCCCCTCTAAGGTTACAAACAACTATCTCTTCTTAACTGATCTCCTATCTATAAACAAATCCATAAAACATCATCTTTTCAGTCCTGGTGTCAGCAGAAAGTCCATAAAGGGTTGCCAGAAGTAACAACATATCTTATTTTAATCTTGATCAAATAAACCAACTTTAGATTCCTTCCCTTTACTTATAACAGTCGTAATCTTTAGTTCATTCAAATATTGTCGTAGGATATGAATTCTTTTCATTTCTTCTTTATCCCATCGCAGAGTTCTTCAAGACTTTAACAAGTCTCTTTTGTAAATCCAATGGGGAAAAATTGTCCAGGTCAAACTCTCTTGGTTTGTCATTTGTATTTCCCTTTTAAATTTTAAAACATCAGCCAGTTTCTTTTGTAGATACAGTGAAACACCCTAAGTCATTCTCTTAGCCTGTCAGTTGTAAATCCACTTTCAATATCATCTCTATCTTGTCAGATAAAATTTGTTCTACATCTGTCATTTTTTCAATAACATCTTTTGGATAAAAGCAGACATAATTACTGACATTGTTGATATTGTGGCTACTATTTTCTGACACCATTCTTCAAGAGTCTCCTTCAGTATTTTCATTGTTATAACATTTTACACCGTTTTGCAGGCTTGCATTTTTTTTCTCTGTCTAAAATCTTTAGTCCCCTCTAGTGTCCACTTTTTAAAATCATGAAATTACTTATCTTTGTTACATTGTGCAAAAACCAAAACAGGATCTATTTCCCACGAGAAGCTGTTTGTTCTAATTAATTCCAAAATCTTATTGTAAAAGTTTCAATATTCCAAATTTATCTGGACCCAAAGTCCATTTATAACTTTCTAAGATCAAAATCTTGTTTCGTTTTTTACAAATTATTTAAATTCTTAAGCTTATGATTAAATTTTTTTGTTGTTCAGGATTGAAGGGAAATTCACCTGGCATTTTCAAACTTGTTGTTCTGAAGGTCTCTAATTGCTTAGTAGTAGTTAACGAGCAATTTCCAAAAGTGATTAACAAGTGAGGTTAGAGAGCTTAGTGTCCTTCAAAGGTGCCAACTGTAGTTCTAAGCAAGATCCCAGTGGTCTCCAGTGGGAGATTGCTGTCCTGCAGACTCTCTGCAAGGAACAGCCGTCCTCTTCTTGTCCAGAGAGGTTCTGAAGAGCCAATCTACTCACCAGCTCTTCGTTCTTTGCGCGGTCATCGGCTCCACTTTTGCAGAGATGTCTTCACTCCGCCATTTCCACCTTGCCATTTTGGACTACAATCCAGCAGCCCAATTCAAAATCCATTTAGTTGAGAGCAAGCCCCAAATTACTTCAATGGATCTTACTTCTGAGTATTCCTATAAACCATTATGTTACAAGGATATTTTAACATATGCTTTTAAGAACAGATAGTGTTTAATTATTTGTGTTTAGATCATACCAGTATAAAATCATAATTCAGTCTGAGAGTTCAACCACTTGAAAATGTCATTTATAGAACTTTTGCTTGGACATTGGATGGTAAAATGCTCCAATCATTGTCAGTTGTTATGGTGTAATACATAAATGATTACTATAACCTATTGTAATTCTCTCTTATTGGGAAGACTTCTTCAAAATCCTATCTGGACAACATTCGCTACAGAATGCTAACAGCAAAGGCACAGATTATAGAACAAAGCCCTGTCTGGAAAATGCTTCATCACATCCAACTGCACTGAAGTTAAATACCATCCAAGGGTTTATTCAAAAGTTTGACTATGTTATTTGCTCATTGTTGTTTTAAAAAACATATCCATAAAACGTCAGAACACCTGTTTGAAAATACATTTATTAACAGATATGTTCAGAATAAAAATTCTCTGTAATTGGAGATTTAATTTCCTGCATAAAGAAAGGAATATTACTGTTATATATTTCCCTTTCAATAATCAAAAGAAGTCAAGTATAAACCATGGCTTGTATATAAGGATCCCAATAACTTTTAAGTAATATTGGGGGAGAATGGTCATTATTCAAAAGTACAGAAGAGCAGCTAATAGACATGATTCTAACTTTATAATTTGACATCACAATAGTTGTTTACGTGCTTCTATTTTTGCTTTTTGAAAAATTCTTATTTTGTATTTTAGCAATGTTCTTTCCTTGTTATTTTTTCTTCCCTTTGTATTACCTAAAGCGCTGTGGGGACTTTTATCATAGAGTTTGAAATTTGGATAATAAGAATCATCGTTCTAATACATCTGTATAAGCTTGTGACAGTTAGGAATTAAATTATAAGCAGCTTTTGCCAATCAATTCACTAGTAGGAGCCTTAATTCTATGGGATTAAATTCAAACCAGCTGTTCTGTTAATGGAAGAAGCCCTACTACTCACAGAACAAATTACAATCCAACAGAGGCTTGCTGCTAGAAGGGGAAGTGTTAAGAGAAAGCAAGCAACTTTTGCCAATATCTTCTTCCCCTTCCATTCTGCTTCTCAGACTGCCCTGGAGGATCCCACTAATTCTCTGCAGCAGATTTTCATGGGATTCAAGCAGCAAAACGGTCTTGCTCCCTTCCTCAAATTTTAACAATCCCTTCTAATCATAAATCTTGTTGAATAAAACTGATTGTACCAAGTAATACCTGTTGTAATGTTCGCTTGCTTTTATATTGATACTTTATTTCACAGTATGTATGCCTTTATAAATAGGTAGCATTACATAAAATGTAGCATGACACTTCATGGTCTTGGATACTTGTGGTTCTGACATTCAAAACATAGCAAGAGCACAATATAATCCAGCCATTGGGGCTAGCTTCTGAAGGTTTAGAGGAAAAGATATATTCTAAAACCTATATAGAAGTCTGTATAATAATTATTACTTTGAAAATATTTAAAATTTGACATGTTATACTTTGGTCAATCTGACTTGATAAGGTAAAAGCGGAATACTGAAATAAAGGTTTTTTAAAAGTTTCATTTGATTCCAGCAGTTTCTTCAGATGCAGCCTTTGTTTTCAATGAGTTCTTCTACCCTTGCCAGAACACTCTCCATTAAATCAAATGTGAAAAGTGCAGAGTGAAGAGCCTGAAACAGATATTATAAATTTAGAAGTATCTTGGAAATATTCATGTATCAAATCCTTAAATAAAAGGGACCCCCCCCAACATGCATTTTAATAGCTTCCTTAAAAACAAATCACTCACCTGAAGCTCCATGTCAGTTGTAATTCCTGACATCTTTGCCCCAGCTACTGTTAGAGCACAAGTCTTTGTACGAATGTGAGGCTCTGCAATGGAAAAGATTGAAGATTAGTAATGTATGACTCCCTGTAACCTGCTTGAAACTCACTATACTGAGGTGTGTGTGTATATATATATATATATATATATAGTTGATTGATTGATTGATGTAGTGGTTAAGGTGCTGGTCTAGAAACCAGGAGACTGTGAGGTCTAGGCCTCCCTCCCTTAGGCAAGAAAGCCAGCTGGATGACTTTGGGCCAGTCACTCTCTCTCAGCCTAACCCACCTCACAGGGTTGTTGTTGTTGGGAAAAATAGGAGGCAGGAATATTAGATATGTTTGAGAGAGACAGAGAGAGATAACAGGCAGGATAAAAATCAAATAAAGAAACAGAGACAGAGATGGAGAATAGCACCTTTGAGCCAGTGTTTAGCAGTTTTTTTGGCAAGATTTCAGAAGTGGTTTTTAGTTCTAACTTATTTCAGCCACTAAATGTGAAAGCATAGCATAAAGGTAATACAGTAAGTATTACCCTTGGTTGGATCACAGTATAAATTCATATCTTCAGTATCCCCTGCAGTCAGTCTTACCCAGCATTTCTTAGAGGAGAACTATTAACATAGAGCTAGTCTGGTGTAGTGGTTAAGGTACTGAAATAGAAACTGGGAGACTGTAAATTCTAGTCCTCCCTTCGGCACGAAAGTTGGTTGGGTAACTTTGGGCCACTTATTCTCTCTCAGCCCAGCCCATGTCACAGGGTGGTTGTTGTGGAGAAAATAGGAGGTGGGAGCATTATGTACATTGCTTTGAATTGTACAAAATAAAGGCAGTTATAAATAAATGATTGTATGTGCGTGCTATTTTAAAATTTTTGTTCAGTTGATCATTCACCTCCAACTCTTTGCACAACATTTTGCCAGGAACATCTGTCAGTAACAGCTTCTTTGAGTCCTTGTAAGTTTACACTTGTGTCTTCAATGAGAATATCTAGCCCCCTTGTTTTCTGTCAGTCTTTAATTTATTAAATGTGTTATAGCTGCCCATTCTATTAAACTCTCCAATTGTCTTCCGTGTTTTCCAAGCATCAGGGCCTTCACTGATGGCTGTGACATTTGCATTATGTGCCCCAAATATTTAAATTTTAGTTGCACTATTAATGTTTCTAGTAAGCAGTCGGTGTTTTTACTACATGTGACACTGAATTGTTTTTGCTGTCCAAAGTATTCAACAGGCTCCTCCAGCATCCTAATCCAAAGGCATACATTTTTCTTCAGTCTTTTTGATAGTTCAGCTCTCACAGCTACATCTTTACTATTAGGAAAGCCATGGATCTGGCTATGTGTATCTCTGTTGTCAGTGTGATGTGCCTGAACTTTAATGTTTTACTTAGATTTGTCAGGTTTTTTCCCCGAGTAGCAGGTATCTCTTTATGCCTGGCTTGTGTGTATTCTCTTTCACCTTGAGTAAGAGATTACTAAAGGCTTCCTCACTTCTAGTCATTAAAATGGCATTATCAGCATACATGAGCTTATGGATGTTTCTCCCAGGAATTTTAATTCAAATTTCTACTTCTAGTCCAGCATTCCTCATGATATTTTCTGCATATAAGTTAAAAAAATAAGGTGACTGTATACAACTTTGGCATACAGGTAGTCCTCAACTTACGGCCATTTATTTAACAACTGTTCAAAGTTACAACGGGGCTGAAAAGTGGCTTACGACTGGTCCCTGCACTTACCACAATCGCAGCATCCCTGCGGTCACATGATCAAAATTTGGGTGCTTGGTAACCGGCATATATTTACAACAGTTGCAGCGTCCCAGGGTCATGTGATCACCCATGTTTTTAATTGCTATTCACAATCTCTTGTGGTCTAGACAGTCAAAATTCTTAGTATAATCAATAAACCAAAAGTAGACCTATTTTGTAAATTCTATTACCCACTGGATGTTAGCAGTGCAATCTCAGATGTCCTGCCTCTTTTGAATTAATCTGTACTTCAGAGAGCATTCATCCCATGTCCTGTTTAAATTTGGATTGCAAAATCTTGAGCATTACTTTAATGGCATGTAAAATCAGTGCAACTATTTCGTAGTTTGAACAATCTTTAGCACTGCTTTTTTTTTTTTGGTGCTGGAATATTAACTAATCTTTTCCAGGCCCCCAGCCACTGCCATGTTTTCCATACCTGCTTATAAACCACACATAGTGCTTGACCTGCATCGTGCAAGATTTTAAACAATTAGGTTGGTATTTCAATAAATCCTGCAGTTATTATACATAACTCCTTGTCTCTTCTTGCTCTTCTCTGGAGCTCAAATTTAGTTAGGCAGCTATTCTCTAGCTCTGCTGCCTTTTGCTTTCTGTTTTTCTTCAAGCTACTTTCAGTGTGTCAGCAGAAAGACATGTCACCTTATTTTGCTTTCTGCATTTTGGGATAGCTTTATTTGCTTCCTTTTTAACAATACCACAAATTTCAATGCAGAATTTTTCAGGCACTCTATTTCTCAGATCTAATCCATTAAATCCATTCTTTATCATCTCTGCATAATCATAGGGAATATTGCTAAGGCCATATCTTGTTAGTTTGATGATTTTGTTTCCTTTAAGTTACAATTTTGCAAACAAAAAAAAAATTCATGATTGGAGCCACAAAAGGCACCAATTTTTTTTGTGCTGCCCGAATAAAACTTCTCCATCTTTGCTTACAGAGTATGTAGTCAATATGTAGTCTTTCTTCTGAAGGTTTTATGCATGATTGTATGGGGAGGGAGAGCCAGTCTGGTGTAGTGGTTAAGGTATCAGGCTAGAAACCGAGACCCTGAGTTCTAATCCTGCCTTAGGCACAAAGTCAGCTAGGTGATGTTAGGCCAATCACTCTCTCTCAGCCCTAAGAAGCAGGCTGTGGCAAAACACTTCCGAAACCTTGCCAAGAAAACTACTTGTTCAGGCAGTCGCCAGGAGTCAACACTGACTTGAAGATGCCAAAAGAAAAAAGTGTGGGGAGGGGTGATGGAAGACGGAAGTCATATGACCTATCCTTACTTTTGTGGTCCTTGTCATCTAAAAGCAACTTCCCCCATAATGCTGTCCATATGCAAGGACTCTGACTCCCAAAATTCTCTAACTAACAAAGCCAAGCTGAGAATTCTGTAAGTTGAAATCTAAACATTTGGAGGGCATCAGGATTTGAAAAGTCTCATCTGAAATAAATATAATCCTGGATTCTAGGAGATCAAATGCGCTGGATCCATAGCAAATAAACTGCAATTACATGTATTCTGTTATTTCTACATTGGGGATGCAGTATAGACCTAATATTTTAAATTCAAATTTGGAATGTATAGCCCAAAAGAAAATACATGAAACTGGTACCAAAATTAGTCTTCCACACATTGAACAGGTTAAAAGTACTGAGATGATGTCCAGAAAATATAAATGATTTCTGTTCTACAGGGTTACTTGGGGTTAGCAATTTTGTCATGCAGAAGTCAGTCTGTAATTATGCAAGACCCAGAATACCTCCCTCCCTTCCAGAAAATGCATAATGGACCATTTTGCGTTAATGGAATTTAACACTAAACTTCTAATTTAGTTTATAAAAATCAGAATGCAAATCCAGCATTATTAGCTAAAATAGCCAACTCATAAAAGTATGCAAAATTATTCTGAATAGCTATTTCTTAAGAAGTCACAGATTCCTGCTCTTTGTATTAAAAAATAATAATTCTCTATTATAGCAAAAAGTCACATTTAACATCATATCACTTCCTTTGTTTAGAGTCAAAAGGTCTCTAAATTCCATTCTTTGGTCAAGATCCATTTGAGGTTTTGGCCAGCTCTTATTAATGCATGGCCAAATGGTGAGGAGCAGTTTCATATACTCTTCTTAAACAGATTTATTTCTGCATTTGTTTCTTGAATTCCACATACAAGCATCTTAGTCTAAATTGCAGCCATCCTTTGTGCTTGTGAAAACTAAGAAACACATAAAATAATAAAGTTAACTAACCTTTTTTGTTTTCTTTCTTCCTTTTTATTTCTGCTTCATAGTGCGCTCTTGACATGTTAAGTCCAGTGTGTAAGGGCTTCAAGAAATTTCTCTCTATCTTGTAAAGTTCTGTCCATACACAAGTCTCAGGGGAAAAAAAAAGAAACATTAAATATGATCAGCAGCACTACAATTTGTATATCTTAACAAACATTTTCTTCAGTGATGTGATCTGCTGTTTTAAAAATAGAAGGATTTAAGACATAACCTGCATTGCCAAGCTAGAGTTGGCTGGGATTGTAGAACAAGCTAATTCATCATCCATGATTAACCGAATACTGGCACAGAAAAGATTTGAACCTCCTTCGAGGTTTTGAGGTTTGAATACCACCCTCTCCCACCCCAACCACCTCTGAGGAGTTCAATACAAGAATAAAATAAAAGCCAAGCTTAAAATGCTGATGCCGATAGCAGTGGTGAGAAGGAACCAACATTTTACAGTCATACAAAGGAAGCAGCAACACTCCTAAAGGTTACTTCATTTTTCAAAACCACAGCAAGGAGAATGGAGAGGCCCCAAAAAGAAAAGATAGTAATCATGGGGAATCGGGAACAAAATTAAACCCTTTGTTACCTCAGCCTTTCAAGATTTTCCTACGGACCAAAGGGACCCCTCCAGAGATTCTCACAGGGAATCACTAAGTGCCCCAACTCTCGTCTGCCTCAGTCAGTAGAGCAACTGACACAGTTCCTATGCTAACATGGCCTCTCAGGAATTTCCCGTAAACTGAACTCACTTTAGTGAATCCGTGAGCACTGATAAAAAATGTTTCATTATTTTAAATGGACACGCCAGCCACCTGGTCCACTTCCAAAGGACAGTAGTAAGATTTTTAAATGCTTCTGTTATTATACAACCACCAGCAAAGCTAGTGTGTAAGTTTAAACAGAATGGTTCTGCTACTTTCCAGCATTAGACCAAGTATATTGTCCGGTATGCTGTCTACTTCTTTTTGGCCCCACTTTCATGGCCCCCACCTGCATCTGGCCAAGAACAATATTACTGGGCCCCAGTCACTGATTCAGCTGGGTTGTACAGGGCGCACTAGCTCAAAGGCAACACAAACACAAAGCACCCACAGCCCAGATTCTTTAGCCGGCAGACTACACAGCCAGGTAGAACAAGAGAGAAGAGAAGCAACTGATTTCTACATGCCATTCCCTGTCTTCCTGCCCATATGAAAAGTAAGCTGCTGCTGCTGCCTTAATTTCTAAATATTTGGTTTGTTCTGTTAATCCGATGTGTAGTTTATTACTACTGCACTATGGGCATGCTCTTAGTCTCAGCCTGCATTTAAAATGCAAAAATCAATTATTCTGGTTTGCTCAACTTTGTGTATATTGTTACTACTGCATCTCATTTGCATGTTATTGGCCTCAGTCTGCTCTGTAGGCTTTTTTTTTTGGCCAGGGATCTCTTTCCAAACTAACTATGCCCCTGAATGATGCATTGCTTATATCCTTCCTCATGCAGACTAGCCATTCATTTGAAGACCGCAACCTTACTCTTAACAGTACCATGCATAGATTGAAGCCAATCTGAATGCCAGTTATGAAATATCAGAAAAATGAGATGCGCTTCAACTCCTATCCATGGAGCTGATCCAGACTACCACCGTGAATTAAAAACTGCAATGATACCCCAATACGCTGAATGTACCAGCAGAATGCAGCAGTACCACAGATTTGTTTGCAGCCTGACTTCCTGATATCTTTACATGACTTTCCAAAGCATTCCATCCAGGTAGGGAGCCTAAATATATGGCCTCAAATGTTATTTAAAGGGCACCAAGCCAGAAGGCCATCCCAGTTTTCAAAACAGCTGGGAAATGAATTAAATTTCTAGTAGACTCACACTGTACTATGTGCTACTGAAATGAAACATAAATCATATAATCTTGCATTTGAATCCCAGAGTTTTCAACTGAATCTGAATCATGCCTAACCATTGAAGTATTATCTTGGAAGCATCTAGCTAAAACCAGCTTTTATTTCTTAGTAAATATGGCTAGAATCAGAATGCAAGGTTGTACGCTTCAGTAATAAATATTACTTCAGGGCTAATAATTTGTTTTTAACAGAATAGGGATGTCAGATAGCTTGCATGGTTGGCTTCTGTTGACCGACTATTTACAGAAAGCAGCACATTTGGAAATCAGATCAGGGAGCAAAGCTTGCAAAAAAAACAGATGAATGTACAGAAGAGCAGCAAATAATTCAGAAATGGAGGCAATATCCTGCCTGCTGCTTGAGAGGCATAAAATATCTGCTGGAGCAGACTTGAACTCTGAAAAAAGGTTTCTGATAGCTATCTACCCTCCAGCAGAACAGATTTAGCTCTGGAGGACTGTTTGGTAAAGCATATTTAGCAGCAGCAATTAGATTGCTGTGACCCAACTCTTTTACTCTCCCCTTTTTTCTTTCCCTGGATGATTTCAAGAGATTTGCTTGAGATGCTAAATTTATCCTCCTTATTGTCTTGAGGCATGCCTCGATTCTGCATCTTATCTAAGAGAAGATATGTTAAGCACTGTTACAAAGATTTTCAGAAGAAAGCAGGGGAGATTCTCAAATAGGCTTAGCCTGGAGGATTAGAGCGAGTGGATGGGAGAGAAAAAAGGAACTCCTATGGTGATGGCATCTCAATTTCTGTATCAGAAATGATTCATCATACACTGATTAAACATGGACATTTTAAACATGGACATTGCAGACCAAAAAGATCATCATGCTATTCCTTTAGCAAATCTCAGTGTGTGTGCATGCCTTTGAGTCAGTGTTGACACCTGGCAACTGCCTGGGCAAGCCCCTGCAGTTTTCTTGGCAAGATTTTGGAAGTGCTTTGCCATTACCTCCTTCCTAGGGCTGAGAGAAAGTGACTGGCTCAAGGTCCCCCTGCTGGCTTTGTGCCTAAGGCGGGACTAGAACTCAGAATCTCCCAGTTTCTAGCCTGATGCCTTAACCACACACTAAACTGGCTCTCTTTAGCAAATCCTACTAATAAAAGAAGGGGGACGTGGTGGCGCAGCAGCTTAATGACGCTGAAAGTTGCCGGCCAGAAATGCAAGGACTCGTCCAAGCAGTCACTGCGGGCTCAGCAATGACTTAGGGCAGACAAAAAAAAAAAAACAAAAACTCTCTCCCATCCACTCGCTCTAATCCTCCAGGCTAAGCCTATTTGAGAATCTCCCCTGCTTGCAAGGACTCGTCCAAGCAGTCACTGCGGGCTCAGCAATGACTTAGGGCAGACAAAAAAAAAAAAACAAAAACTCTCTCCCATCCACTCGCTCTAATCCTCCAGGCTAAGCCTATTTGAGAATCTCCCCTGCTTGCAAGGACTCGTCCAAGCAGTCACTGCAGGGTCAGCAATGACTGAGCGCAGACAAAAAAAAAAAAAACAAAAACTAATAAAAGAGAATTCAGTTCAAGCTCATCTTGTTTAGAGAACAGAGCTGCAAGAGGAGTTAGAAAATCAAAGTTCTTTTATCGTTTTCCATGGGACTAAAAATTACTGATTCAAAACAAAGTTCTCATGAATAAACTGCTGCCACTGCTGAATTCTCCCCCTACAACCACTGGAAAAATATATAACATTCCTTTCAAGCTGTATAATGAAATTGTTTTAAAGAAAATTGCAGACACACACATTGCTACATGAGGTACAAATTCCAGAAAGATTTTGGATCACTCACAAGGATTGTTATATGTGGTTATTCAAAAACTGCAAATGTGTATATTCTGATCTGGATTTCTAAAACATGCAAATGAAGGGAAGAGTTTTTTTCCCATTTAAGAATAATCTAATATTTCAATATATTTCAACTGTACCATTTTTAAAGATCTACAGTGACACAATCTATCCTTCTCTCACATATAACCTTTTTTCATGTAATCATTACAGAAAAAAAGTTTTTTAAAAAAACTTACCTTATTGTCATTTTCATTATCTTTAATAACTAAATATCTCAACAAATTCAGTGAGGCCATTATCCTGCAAATCAGTAATGTTAAATAATCAGCTGTATAAAATGCTATTCATCAAGCACTGATATATTGATATCAAGCAAGTTATGATGGAAGACAAATGCTATAAGAATGTTTCAATAGCCAACAATAAAACAATGGATTCGATTTCTGCTTCTTAGCTTCTACAGAAGTTCCCTGAAAATCCACTGGTTTTGCCTTACTGGTTAGGCTGATATTTTTAGCATTAGTTTATAGTAAGATATGAAAGCTGTAGACTGTGTTTTTCCTAGAGTTTCACTTCAAGCTATTGGTTTTCCCATTCTTTTTCTCTTATCCAAAAAGATCCCCTAAAAGATGATAAAAGAAAATCTTCCTTTCATTTCACATATATCCCTTGCTCCCCACCCCCACAAACACACATTTTTGCATGAGGATCTGGTAGTTTCATCCATCTGCGTACCAGCCAAGTTTCTTAATTTGGGTAAGCTATATTCTTTGAAATTTAAGTCATTCACAAATATCAATTCAGCTTCAAGCCAAGTCTCATTTATCTTTGGTTGCGCATTTCAGTGGTAATCTATCAAGCAAAAAGAACTTAAGGAAGAAGCAGTTCTTGTCTCACTTTCTTCAGATAAGAAGAGATCAAGAAAAAATACCTGCCATTGTTTTCCCTAGTACTACTAACTCCTGAAGTTTGGAAGAATGTCTCAGAAACCTTTCTACCAGAGATGAGGTATTCACTTTCAATAGTCAGATTTGTGACAACTATCCCCAATTCCATAAATTCTTCATCACGGAAAAATTACTATATTACAAAGTCTTAATATTTCTACTACATGAATGGCAATGTGTATTCCTCCAGGTGTTGCAGGAATACAGTTCCCCTTATTCATTACTACTGACCAGTAATAGTAATAACACTGATTTTTCCTATACTAATGGGAAAGTTTCTCCAGATTATCTAGTAAGCTTGTAACCTGCCTGGATTTTTCACCATTAATAGAAGTATTGGCAAATGTTGAGCTCCTATACATAACATATGCTCCATAGTTGTTGTCAAACTTATATCAATATATTACATCTGCAAAGCATTTGAACAGTTTCATAGTTAGCATCTCAATAAATGTTCAGATTAAGTGAATGGCAAAAGCAAAATGACATATTTGGATTAGTGAATCAATTATTCCACAAACAGAAGATTTTTATCACTCTTTTTGACGTTATACTGCCTTTTATTACTAGAGCTCATAATTTGCTTATAAGCTGTAACGGAACCTCTAATAACATACCTCTTAGAAAGTTATTTTGTTAACAAATTATAAAAACTTTAATGAAGGTAACTCAGGGAGTGTCAGCCCTTTGAGGCAGACCAGACTTGAACATCAAAGTTATGAATACTATGTAGTTATAGGGTTACAGTAACAGAATCTTGCAACTCTGAATGTGCCTCGCCCTCCCTGCCTTTATCCTAAAGAGAATTAGGGAGAGTCAAGTCTGAGACATTTTCTCAAATTCCATTCCTGCTTTGGACTCAGATTTCTCTTATCTGACCATTGCCTTGGCTGCAGCTCTTCTTCCTGTTTCTCAAGGTTATTCTCACAGCCCATTACAGGAAATACTTGAGCGGTGACTTTTATCACATCTCACCTGTCTGAGTGCTGGAGAAGATCAGTTTCAGCACCTTCAGGAAGTGAGAGCACCATATCCAACAGAGAGACCAACTGGAGTCCAATAAAAAACTTGCTGCCTTCTGCCCTCTGAAAAAAGAAACACAGGAAACAGTAATAAGCGCTTCATACAGTGCCTATATTACTATTATAGCTAAAGGGTTTCAGAAACACATTTACTGAATTTTTATTCCAACTACCTACAAAATTGTGTTTAACCTCCCCCCCCCTTTATTCTAATTAGTTCTTACTCTTAATTTAAATTGCATTCCAAAAGTACTGCATGTGGGAAATTTTCTTCAGATTATAATCTAAATTGATCTAATTCAATAGGCCTTATCCTCGGTTAGTTTCACAACCATAAAAGCCAAAGATCACATTTGGAATACATCACATAAACTCTCATAAATGTATTTAAGCTACATAGATCAGCCCACATTTTTCAAGTTTTTTAAAAACTATTTATTTAGAAACCTCTCTTTTAAATCTAGTCACAAAAAGTGTTGAAAATAGAAATGAGTGTCAACCAAGGCAGCATGATAGTCAGAGGGGCAATGGCATACTCTAGCATGCCATGCAGCTTTACTACCCAGATAACAATTAAACCAGAAACAGGCAATTAATTTTGTTTTGCTATCACATATGTTCATAGCTTCAATGGTACTCCAAAATGGCCTGCCACACTTTTTTACCCTCAAGGCCAGAGTTGCAGAGAATAAGACATGATGCCTATCCTTACAGAAATTGCAGGGGGCGGGGGGGATATAAGCTATCAAAACTAATGTTCACTCTGTAACTACAAGGTTGAACAACCAAACAGGATATCTCAGCTGGAAGGCTGGGGAAGTTTTACGGCGACTTCTATAACTAATTTAATGTTAGAGTATTAATCTCTTCAGTCCAATTTAAGCATGGTAGGAATTTCAGAGCAAGAGGGGAAAAAATCAGCCTGCTCTTTTTATAGAAGCACTAATACATGGAAGTATTAGCTCTGCCAGAATGTTATCTGCTAGAGAGCTCATTGCATTCTAGCTTTTTCTTTTTGTTCAGTTGATAAGACTATTTGAATGAGGACAGAATAAATCCTGCATTATGTTCTGCCCAGATTATGTTAAGGCAATTCAGTAACATAGAAACACATTTGTTATAATTATAAATGATACTTTTCAGAGAATTTTTTAAGTATTAGGTATCCAGCTATTTTTGTTCTCAAACTTTTGAATGAAGATCTTTTCACAAACCTGCAGAAACTGAAAATTCTCTTACCACCATAAGTCACTGCAGAAAACTCAGTTGAGAACTGAAAATTTTCCATGTTTTACTACAGCACCTACTATCAATGTGGGGTTGCCAGGCTGTTTATCATCAGCTTCTAATTTAGCATTAATTTGTTCTGTGTAGTTTACCTTCATTAACAGGAAAGGATAATAAATTGTAGCCCCTTTTACAAATGTTTATTTGTAAACATCTATTTTTTTAATCTGCCCTTCCACCATCCCTTCTTTTATTTATTTGGACTCACTGAAACTGTATGTATTTTAGCAGACAATTCAGAAGAAATGGGGGGGGGGTTACTATTGATTTTTGTAGCATTATTTATTGTCAGTAATGATTAGTTTACTAAAGTGTATTGTGAATGTTAACCAAGAAGAAAACAAAAAATGGATCATAGAACAAATCATCCCATTATGATATAATGTATCATAAACTATGATAATTTGAGTCATTTGTACCTGTAGTGAGAATTTGTTCTCCCTCAGTTTGCATCCACAGCATTGTGCTACTTACATTTCAACCCTGATTTAAATCTACAGGAGAACCTTCTTCACTCATTTTGTCTTTAGTTTTCCTCACCTTTAAGGATAAATCAATTTGATTTTTAATGTTCTGAATGATGTGTCCCTCCACACCAGAATGGTTGCTTGTCTTCAACAAACATCTATAACCGGAAGACCAAAAAAGAAAGATTATGCTCCAACTCACTTTTTCCCATCCTTGTGACCTCTAGATATTGTATCTCTCATTATTTCTGACAATTGGCCATGCCAATTGAGAGTGATGGGATTTGCAGACTAAAATATATGGAAAATCTAAATCAAGTATAATTTTTACTTAAAAATCATATTTTGAATGTATAAAAGACTAGAGTATTATAGTTAAATTAACTAAATTTACTGTTAAAAGTACTTGCAATTAGATAATATGAGACATACCTAAATAATATGTATTTTCCCTCATCATCAAACTTATCTATGTACATCTGCAAAATCTTTAAGCTCTTCTTTCTCTACATAGAAACACAAATATTGAATGTGTGAGATTTAAGTACAGTTTAAACCCAACAGTTTTAAGAGACATAGAAAACTTTATTACATACCAGAGATTCAAAAGGGCATTGGGTCATAACCTTGACCAAATCCTGCCATTAAAAACAAAACAAAACAAAAAATATTTTAGCAGTATGGTATATGTTAGACCTTACTTAAAAACAAGTAGGGCAATTTAATTTTTATGTATAATGGGCACCAACTTTAAGTTACAAAAACAAAGAACTCCTTCCTTAAGCCGCACTACTGCATAAACATATTGGAGAGGGGAAGACAGAAAGTGATCCACAACAAAGGCAGAAAGAAGTGGATTAAGGAGTGAGTGCTAAAATATTGACCCCAAAATTGTATTATACTACAGTCAGCCATAAAATTATAGATGTTTAGAAGAAAGCACAATCTAGTAAAGCACAGTATGCAAAAACTCTTGCTTCTGATATCATAGTACCATCAATTTTATCTTTCACCCCACTTCCATCTTTTAAAATCCAGTATAGATGTCAGTTGGTGTTGATACTTAAAAATGTGGACTGGTGTCCCAAAAGTGGATGCCTCATATTTGATTCAATAGATCATGTTTTCTGCACTATGTTGAAATAAAAATTATGCCTACTTACAATATTTCACCACTCTCACCTCTCCTTTGGGAGAAGCAGAGCTATTTAACTGTATCTAACTTAGAAGCCATATAGTACAATACAGAATTACTGGCTGGAGGCAGAGCTCCATTTTTGCTCTATATAAACTTCTGGACAAAAATATGATTTTCTATCAAAATGATAGAAACAAGACCTGATTAAAAATTTATTAAATAATTATTTAACAAAATGGGGATTTTGAACTTTCAAGAGTCTGTTTAATTAGCCCCATTAAAGCACTGAGAAATATCAACACAATGCATTAGTGTAATTGAAAGCTTATGGTTTTCTCCACATTACCTGAGGTGTTGTAATAAAGCCTTCAAACTCCAAGTACTCAAGAAAAAGGCTATTATCTTCCAATCTCAGTAGACAGTTCTCCAAGAGAGCCTACAAGTTAAGTTGATATATTAATTTTAAAAACTATGGGCATTGCTCCCAATGTATCAATCTCCAAATACAGAACAGAACAGTGAAAGTATATTGCTTTTAAACACATCTGTATGCAGATTCCTTATTCTCTGCAACAGAATTCATAGACTGAACATCTGTGAATGATACATGAAAGCAGAACTATAACCATTATTAGTTGAAGAAATAAGTAATTCTGTGTTTAACTGGGAATCCTTTTTATTCTCAACTTGTAAAACTCCCTTCTCAACTTGTAAAATGGGATATGCGTGTTTGGATCTTGGACTGAAAGACACATGGAGCTTTGATACAGTGAAGCAGCACATCTCTATGGTGTTTTGTTGCAGAGCGTGCAAAATGAAAAAAATGAAGTGGTGTATTCAGATAATACCACTCAGGTAGCTATCTGTAGAGCCTTCTCCTTCCTTCTTCATAGCCTCATCCTGTGATCTCTTTCTCAGCAAAGCTTAACTTGATGTTAGGAAGCTGCAAACTGCAGTCCTTCAATGAGGATGGGCAACTCCCATCTCCTCCAACCAATTGAGGACTGATGGGAGTTGGAGCCAAACCTCTCAGAAGGCTTACATGATCCTCATCCTGGCTCCCAATTATAACCTAAGTTTATAAACTAATAGTAGTTGGATAAACAAACTTAGTTTATAAACTAGTAGTAGTATATAACAATTAATGCTTAATTGAACAGGTACTTCCAGTGATATCACTTGGCATCCTGGATAAAAACACTCAGCCAGCATGTGACAAAAAAGCCCACTGCCTGAGCTTTTTGACTTCCCCCAGACCAAGCAAATAAAAGCTGAGTTCGTGTGTTAATGTAGTTGGTTTGTTTGTAGCTTAGCGCAGCTTGTGAACATTGTAATTTGGTCTGACATTGGAACTAGGCCATAGCAGCTTATTCAGCAAACCATGGTTTTAAAATCCTTATTTATTTCATTGTCTGATTAATCATCATCACATTTATATCTTGCCACAATCTAAACA